AGATGAAATTTTGCACAAATCATTTGTTTGGCCCAAGGACGAACCAAACGTGTAATATCAGTCCGAATAGTATAGAATTTTGCATATACATCCAAATTAGGTCTGAAAATAAGTATGCCAAATTTGATCGAAATCGGTTCATTTATAGCTATAGCTCCAATATATATTGTTCATCCGATTTGTTATATTTGTTACCCACAGCCCACAGCTCAGAAATATCTTTGCCAAATTTTATTGAGATGGGTTCCGATTTGGATATAGCTCCCATATATATCTTTATATGATTTCAAATTAATTTCGCACCAAATGGGCAATACAAGTCCGAATTTAAAAAATACAAATGCTTCGGCATATTTAGTCCTTCGAACTATAAATTACAATTAGAATCATAGCGTGTATGATTGAATTTTCCCATAAAAACTTTTAATTGTTATGTGGAGCTCTACAAAATTAGCAAGGTGCTGTAGGGCAGCATAAAGTCGGCCCGCCCGACTTTAAGACTTTCTTCACTGTTTTTTTTTACAAACTTTTTATCCGAACTACTTGTCAGTTGGTATAAATTAGCCCATATGCCCATGTTTTTGTGTAGCTCGCATATAATTTAAAGAGCGAAAAACCAGACATTTCCAAAATAATTATAACACAGCTCAGAATTATATAGGCAAATATTATTACCTTATTAATATGTATTTAGATTTTCTGAGAAATCTATATTTGGAAGTTATATATTTAAATACGTAGTTACCAGATATATCCTGCAGATGAGGGAAATCACAAATAAACTTTTAGTTGATGAAAACAGAAAAACACACAAAGCTAAACCACGCCAAAAACAAAACACAAATAAGAGAAGAAAAACCAGGAAAAGACAAATAGATCCCAACATGATTTATGTTGACTTCAGCATTTTTATGATCCCCATAATGACAAAGGGGGATTATGTTTTGGGGGTGGACACATTCATTGTTGTCACACATTCAATGGCTGTAGGTTAACTAATGTGTGTGGGAGTTTACCGGCACTCCTCAATGCAAAAAGATTTCGTGTGTGTGTGTGTGAGAGCTTTCTGAATAATCCTGATGTGCCTGGATGGATGTGTAAAAACACACACACAAAGTTTCGATGCCATCAACTTATTTTATGTCCACAAATAAATTGGTAAAGTTTTTTTGTAATTTGATATTGATATTTATTTATATGTTTTGTATTGCGTTAGGTTCGAGGGCTGATGAAAAAAAAAAAACGAGTCGGAAGGAAAAGTTAAAGAATAAATCCGTTTGTTACTCGGAAAAGAAAATTACAAACAGAAAAGCAAATCTCTGATATAAACTGAAGATGCGATCTTAATGTAATAGTTACTTCAATTAAAAACTTATTAATCGAAATTAGTTTCGAATTTAAAGAGGAAATTAATCGACGGACCCATGACCCATTCCAATCGACGAGGCTTGTCCGCAGGCAACATTTTTTGCGTCAATTGAATTTTGTACGGGAACAAATGCAAATCAATGCGAATAATCCGTTGTAAAGTGGACCGAGTCATGCCCAACTGCTGAAAACGGCGTTTTTGGGATGTTCTTGGGAACCTCTCAACACTGGCTCGTACGGCAGCGATATTCTCGGCCGATCGCCTTGGTCGACTTTTATATGGCCTCTTCGGATTAGAAAGAGCCTTACCAGTCAAAACTTTTTCGTATAAACGCTTAATGCTGTTCTTAGAAGGCGCAACTATTTCAGAGCGCTCGCGTGGCGTATATTGGTTAATGGTAAAAATCTGCTTGGACTGACGCTTCAAACGCGGTATGTCATTAAGCTATGTGACATCTCTGTCAAAAGTTATGGCGTTGCCAGATGGGTCCGTCGAATATGGGCAACCCTGTACATATGCGTGATTTCTAGGTAGTTGAAATAAATACTTTTACAAAACAAGTTAAACAAGTAAAAAAGCTGTAATTTCGACCGGGCCGAACTTTGAACACCTTCCACCATTTGGAAAGAATTTCACAAGAAATTTCACAAAAATACAATCCGCTAAAAATTCTGTTAAAATCTTTAAAATACCGAATGTAGCCGTTATATTAGGATCAGATGTGTATCTGCACAGGCAATATTCCATTTTAGGCTGTAGCATCTATTACGAACTTCATATACCAAATTAAAAACAATTCCGGTGAATAATGTCGCCAAAATCATCAAAATATCGAATATCGGGAGGAACCGTTGTATGGGGACTATACGAAGACGTAGCACTGCACAGACAATTTTTTGTCTTAGGCTGTAGTATCCATTATAAACTTAAAATACCAAATTTGAAACAATTCCGGTAAATAATGTTGCTTAAATCACCAAAATACCGAAAAAGGGAGGTACCATTATATGGAGGCTAATCCACAACGTGGACTTACATTTCCCAATTTCAATACCAAAAGTCCTGCAGACATAATATACATTTGAGGAAAATTTTATCAACCTACTTCATTTCGTTCGGAAGCTAGAGTGATTTCCACAGACGGACGGAAATCGCTATATCGACATAGAATTTTATTCTGATGAAGAATATGTATACTTTGTGGGGTCTAAAATATATATTTCGAGGTGTTACAAACGGAATGACAAACTTAAGATACCCTCCATACTATGGTGGATGGTATCGAGACATTAAGTTCGGTCGGCCGAGCGTTTAATATCCTCCACCATTGGTAAAAAAAATATTATACAAAAGTATCTCAGTCCAAATGTGTTCCACTTTAAACTACAAATACCAGCAAGACCGTGCGGATAATGCTTTTTAATTTCAAAAAAAAAAAAAAGCAATAAAGTGGGTGAGGCCGTAAAATGGCGGACATACCAAAACGGGAAAGTCTATATACAATTTTATACTTCAAGGACTGTCATCTACCAAATCTTCTTAAATACCAAATTTGAAACAATTTCGTGGGTAAATGTGACTAGGATCATCAAAATACTGTATATCGGTGTATATCGTTATATTGTGGCTATACAACAACGTGGACCTATACCTACAATATTTCGCCACTGGAGCTTGAGCCCATTATGACTTACAAATACCAATCTTTAAAACAAATCCGTGAAAAAATGTGCCGAAAATCATCAAAATACCAAATGTCGGGAGGTACCGTTATATGGCGGCTATAACCAAACGTGGACTGATTTTCAATACCATCCATCCTAGATACAGTGTAAATTGTGTCAAATTTTGTAGCTCTACGTAATAAAGTGTGGGTTGTATCGTGATTTCAGCAGGCAGTCGGACGGACAGACAGACGGACATCAGTAAATTGCCTTTAATGCAGATCATGTATTTACCTTATGGGTCTACGACGCATATTTAGGGATGTTACAAACGGAATGACAAAGTTAATATTTAATAATAATTAATAATTCAAGGTGGAAAGTATAAATATTCGTAGCCCACAACATCTGGAAAATTGTTTATAAAATCACTCTACAGGTCCACATATCAATATACAACTAAACAGGGTGTGATAAAAAACCTGCAACAAAGTCAAACAGCATAATTTTTAATGTTTTTTTTTTTTCAAATTTTATTGAATGAAAGAAAATAATGTCGGAAATAGCATCAAATTTTAGAATAAGTTTAGATTTGATCCAATTGGTCACCGTTGGCACGAAATATGGCTTTCAAACGGCCAATGAAACCGTCACACGCTGCCCGAATATTGCTCTGCGGCATTTTGGCCCATTCCCGGCGAAGCACTTGCTTGAGGTGATCGACACTTTGGTATTTTTTAGTGCCAACCTTGATTTCCAAAATACTCCAGACACAATAGTCCAACGGATTGGTATCCGGAGATTTTGGTGGCCATTGTGTGCTGGAAATGAAGCGAGGAATCTCATTTTGTAACCATTCTTGGGTGGAGTGCTAAATGTGAATGTCCAAGGTCTGTGGCCAAAATGTTTGCGTGCCCAAGGCCCTTCAGAATATTTTCGCAATAATATTCGGCATTTATTCTGATGCTACGGGTGAATAATACGAGCGGCGAGCGACCATCGGCTATTATGGCGACGCACACAATCACCATGGACGGTGCTTGAGTTCTGGTGACCAACCGAAGGTGCACATTTTCAGCTGACCTCTTTGGCAAGTAAAAACGATCATTTTGTTTGTTTACGAACTGCTGGACAATGAGTGTTTTCTAATCGGAGTAAACCAAATTCCACAGTTCACCACTTTCGGCCAAGCGAAGCAACTCTTTTGAGTCTATTTTCTTTCTTTTGCTGTTTTAGTTCTTGCACTTTTTGGAATTTTAATATTTGCCGAATGGAATATGGCTCAGCTCACGATTAAATAAATTATCCAACCGGTTCGATATGGTATTTTTCTTTTATAGTTTGTCATAAAACATATAAATTTATAAAAATTCCTATTTAATACATAAGAAAAACATATACTTCTGCCCCTTTTCCAATAAAAAAAAAATTGTCAAACAACATTATGCTCGTGTAGGGCAAAATCTCATAATGCTTGAAAATTTTCACAAGTCTTCTCCCTTATCAGCAAAAAGAAACTGCGTTTCTTTGCAAATTAGAACTTCACATTAGTTGAGTGAAGTAGTGATGTGTGTAAAAGTTTTCCTCTGTCCCCCTTTTTCTTCTTTTGCAAATTACTTAATGTTATAAGAAACCGGATTAAGCCAACCTTTGTAAATAAAAAGTTTTTCTTTTTTTCACTAAGTTCTCGTGTGTGTATTTTGGCATCATTACTGGGTTGACTTTAAACCAGTTTGCCACGCAAAGAACTTCTTCAACAAGAGTTTGTGTTTTGTGCTTTAGTTTTTAAAAGGCTTGCCTATAATTTTCTCCATCCGGCCTAAAGTAAAATCATGGCATGGGCAACGGCAACAACGATTACTGAGGTACTGGTGAATGTTAAAAAAAAAACTAACATCTAGTATGTGTGCATATTAGAGAATGAATTTAAATTATGTATGTGTATGTTCTTTCAAATATTACTATAGGTTGAATCAGTGTAAAAGAAAAAATATAATAAAATTCTTAAAAAGTATTAAAAACTCCAGTGAAAAGTAAGGGCTAAAGAAAAAAATACGTTGTGTGAAATATTTCAAAATTGCATTCATCAGCAGCTGCAATTTGCAAACATAATTCAAAGAAAGTCAACAAAGGAGAATCCAGAAAGCAGCCACTATGGTAAGTATAATTAAGTAAGAGAACACCACTACACATAAATACAAGAAACCAGCTTTTCGCTGAAGAAAAGATTTTTATATCTACCGCAATATGGCTACTAAGAGTATATATAATTTCATTCCGTATTTCAAAAATGTCAGCCGGTCTGGCTGACTACTCTCTGGTATCCCTTCAAACTGTTAAATTAAAAAAAAAAACAAGTAAGCAAAGGCCATAGCCGTGCGGGGCCGACCATGTGATACCCTACAACACTATAATATGTTAGAAGCCCCCTTATGTCCAAATCCATTTTGAAAGATTTCGCTTTTGAAATTATGCCACCGGGCACATTTGTCCAATATATACGCACACCGTCGTGCTTTTAGTTGTGTGGTCCATTTTACAGTTAAATATAATCCAATGGTCATCCAAAAGGCTAGAATTCTTCTCTGTCCTTAACCCTCTTCTCAGACGTTCGATTGGCTTCAATTGTTTAATCACGATTTTTCTTCTGCTTTTGGTTCATTTCAAACCCTAAATATTTTGCGAAAGTAAGAGGCCCCTCTGTATCTCCAAATTTAGACTCATCTATATGATATGCTTATCTACGATATTTGGCTATATTTGTAAACGAAATCAGCATAAAAAGCCAAAAGTTCGTCTTTTGTGTATTTCGGATATCGCCTGCAAGTAATACTGGTATTTTCCACACAAAAGTAGTGGTCCATTCTACCCGCTGTACTTAACTCTAACTTCATGCGAGATTTCGTGTCCATTAGTTTCTATTTGTGGCCTTTACAACTGCTGCAAAATCAGGAACATTCTTAGTTGTTGGTCCAGTTCAACCACTAAATATATTGCGGACATCTTTGAAAAAATAGGCCTAGCCCTTCTGAGTCTAACCCTGCCCTTATGAAAATTTTCGTGAGGATCGGACGATAATTGCAATCTGTATATAATAACCGCAACTTGTGATGTAAAGTGCAAAAATATTACAAAATATACACTTTAATATTATAAGTCAGAATGAAAAAAAAAAACGCATGCGATAAAAAATATGATAAAATAAAAAAATGTCACAAAATACTACAAAATCTATATTAACATCATTATTGGCATCTTTTTATGCGAATTTCTTATATTTTATTCTTTTAGCCCAGGAGGGCATTCTGAATTGACAAAATTTGTCAAAATCGGTCCAGCCATTCTTGAGATATAAGCATTCTTGCTAACATCCCCTTCCCAAATATTCGCGGTTTAATAAAAAATTTGACTTTTATTTAAAAGAAAAGTTATGGTCTATTTCATCCACTAAATATTACCCGATGACCACCAAAATTGGAAGGCTTCTGCTCAGCCCGAAACTCTAGCCCCATGCTAACTTCTGCTTCGATTGGTCCATAATTGCGTCCTGCAGAGCAACTGCAAAATCAGGAAATTTTTCAATTTTTGGTCCATTTCAACCCCTAAATATCATGCGATCTTCTCCAAAAGAAATAGGGTTCTATTCTGATCCTAGCCCCACCTCCATTCTAAATTTTGTGAAGATCGGGCCATAATTGCGACCTCTAGACTGATTACAAATTAACATGGACAGACGGACGGACGGACATACATAGCTAGGTCGACTCAGCTCGGCGAGATAGGAAGATCTATATATATTTTCCTATGTGGGAAACCAATATTTCGAGGTGTTACATAATTTTTGGCCCAATCATACTTATAATACCCCCCATACTGGAGTTGTATGGTATAAAAAACAAGTTAAAAAGTATCAATCAGTTTTGCCGACAGTGTATACCCTCAGCCGATGATTTAAATATATTTTTATTTCTTTTGTGATTATTCAAATTGTTGACCCTCTATGAAGTAGGTTTCGTAGGAATAAATATGATTAAAATATATGTTTTTATGAGATATATGATAATTTTTTGAAAATGTTAGAATGTACGTGAGGTACCAGATATAGTCTATCGAAGTACTCCATTTTCATAGGGACAAAAATACAAGAAAATCGAACATTTATATCCAATTTCCTACGAAACCATAAATTCCATATTAAGGTACCAGGTTCAGAGAAATATTTAGATATAGCAAGTTGTAATGAATCGCTGACTTGTTTCGCAAGTTATGACAGACAACAGTATTGAAAATTGTGACATTTTGTGGGTGAAGTACCAGAAGGGGTTCGCAGATTTATATCATCTTCACAACAGATATTGTGTTAGCAAAAATTTTGAAATTTGAGGAGATTTGGATGTTTATTTTGCTTTCATTGAGCGTCTTGTTTTTCAAAATCTTGAACCCTATGTGGGGGAGGTACCAAAATAAATGGTCCGATCTCTACCATCTTTATAACAGATATTGTGTTGATGGAAATATTCAAATGTACCAAGTCTGAATAGAAACGTGAGTTAATTAGGGGTATTATGAGCTTCATGAATATTCAAAATTTGGACCCTTTGTGAAGAAGGTACCAGAAGGAGAAGATATATCCCATCTTAACAACAGATCTTGTGTTAGTAGAAATAATGGAATGTGTGAAATATAAAGCGAACCTGATCATGATTTAGGATTGTATAAACGTTTTGGTTATTCAAAACTTTGACCCTTTGTGTGGGAGGTACCAGAAGGAAGGGTCCGATCTCTACAGTCTTTATAACAGATTCTATGTTGATGGAAATATTCAGATGTGCCAAGTCTAAATAGAATCGGATGTTAATTTTGCGTTTTATGAGCTTAATGGTATTCAAAATTTCGACCTTTTGTGGGGGAGGTACCAGAAGGAGTGGACCTATATATGCAAACTTCACACCAGACCTTGGGATACCAAAAATATTGTGATGTATATAATTTGAAGAAAGTCGGAAACTTACCTCACATTTTTACGAGTTAAAATTATTCAAAATGTTTAACCTTAGTGGAGGAGGTACTTCATGAAGTGGACCCACATTTTACATTTTCGCATCTAACCTAGCACTAATGCAAATATTACGATTTGCAAAGTTGGAGCAAAATTAGATTATTCTTTCTCTTTGTGTTCAGTAAAATATATTTTTTGAATATTTCAATCTTTTTTGAGGGAGGTATCAGAAAGAGTGCACATCTCCGAACTCAATTTACGTTTGACAATAACATTGTTATGTACCAAGTTTTGGCGAAATGGGATACGCTTACAGAATTTTCGTGCGCACCAACCAGTCAGACAGACAGACGGACGGACGGAAATTGATAGATCGACTCCAAATATCCTGAAACGGATTTGGTCCAGAGGGACCTAGGGTCTACGACCTTTATTTCGATGAGGTACGTTTTGGACGTACCTGCCCTAGCCATATGGCTTAGGGTATAAAAAATATAAAAAATTTATATCGCACAAAGAGCTATGGATGCATTCGATTTCGTTGTAACGTTGAATATCCTGATATGTTAATCAGGCCTACGTCAGGTGAGAAACTAGACAATGTTAGGTCAGTCCTTCTGGTACGTCCTTAAAAGAGGGGCACGTTTTGAATAATCACAACGCTTATAAACTGTGAAAGAAAAGTTAAAATATCTTCAACATTTTTGAATATCCATGACACTCAAAAAAAGAACATCTGATTATTTTCAAACTTGGCACATCCCAATATATATACGAACACAAGATCTGTTGTAAAGGTGGGGTTGATCACACAACTCCTTCTGCTTACTCCCCCACAAAGGGTCAACGTTATCAAATTTCACTTATAACTATGTTTGAACCATCTTTATGTTTTGAAAGAGAATGGGATAGAGCGGGCCAATCCTTCTGGTACCGTGAATACCCATAACCCTCATTAAATGAAAAATAAGCTTCCGGTTCTTTTCAATACGACAGCCTATGTCATAAAATATAATTCATAATTGGCTAAATTTAAATTTTCGAAAACCCTCTCCTAAGCTGATTTTCAAAGTTTACACCACCAATATGCAACTCACTTCTACTGAATAGAAGAAGAAGTTATAGTTGTGCCTATATAATTTTTTTTTCTGATTTGAGGAATTATAATAAAAATTAAATGTGAATTTATAATTATAACCAAATAAGGCAAAGTTAAAACAAGTAAAAAGCAACTAAGTTCGGCCGGCAGAACTTTTAATACCCTCCACCATTTGGAACTTGAAATTTTTCAAGTCGCTAAAATCATGAAAATATCGAATATCGGGATGTACCGTTATATGGGGGATATCCGAAAACGTGAATCTACATACGAATTTTTTGTCATAGGCTGTAGTGCCCTTTTCGAACTTTAAATACGAAATTTGTTACAATTCCGGTGAGTAATGTCGCACAAATCATAAAAATACCGATTACCGTGATGTGAGAGCTTTACGAATACTAGGACCTGCATACAAAACATTACGAAATTTGAAACAATTCCGGTAAATAATGCCGTTTAAATCATGAAAATACCGAATATCGGGAGGTACCGTTATATAGGGGCTATACGAAGACGTGGACCTGCATACGAATTTCTCTTTTCCTTAGGTTAAAGTTACAATTAAGATCTCCTAATACGAAATTTGAAACGATTCCGGTGAATAATATTGCACAAATCATCAAAATACTGAGTAAGCAATACGAAGGCGTGGACCTGCATAAAAAAATTGTCATAGGCTGTAGTACCCATTACGAACTTCAAATACGAAATTTGAAATTATTCCGGTAAAATCATTAAAATACCCAATATCGGAAGGTACCATTATATGGGGGCTATACGCAAACATGGACCGACATGGCCCATTTACGAACTTAACCTGTCTACTGGTAAACTATGCAAAGTTTTAGTCTTCTATCTCAATTCGGTCGAAAGATAGCGTTATTACAACAGACAGACGGACGGATATCGCTAGCTCGTGTTAGAATTTTACGCTTTTTATATATATATATATATATATATATATATATATATATATATATATATATATATACTTTGTAGGGTCTATTATAAATATTCTGACAAACGGGTTGACGAAGTTAATATGCCCTCCATAGAACGGCGAGGGCAAGTAAGCAAAGGCTATAGTCGTGCGGGGCTGACCATGTGATACCCTATAACACTACACAGGTTAGAAGCCCTCTTATGTCCAAATCCACTTTGGAAGATTTCGCTTTTGAAATTATGTCACAGTGCACAGCCCAGATATTGCCCTTAGTATTTTGACCAGGGACATTTGCCCATTATTTACGCACACCGTCGTGCTGTTAGTTGTTGTGGTCCATTTTACAGCTAAATATAATCCAATGGTCATTCAAAATGCTAGAATTCTTCCTTGTCCTTAACGCTCTTCTCAGGCGTGTCGAATGGCTTCGATTTTGTGATCAGGAATTTGTTTCTGTTTTTGGTTCATTTGAACCCCTAATATTTTCGGATCATCTCTAAAAGCAAGAGCCCCCCTTTATCTCCAAATTTAGACTCATCTATGTGATATTCTTATCTACGATATTTGTCTATATTCGTCAACGAAATCAGCATAAAAAAGCCAGAAGTTCACCTTTTGTGTATTTCGGATATCGCCTGTAAGTAATGTTTGTGTTTTTCGGACAGAAATAGTGGTCCATTCTATTTATGACCTTTATAACGGCTGCAAAATCAGGAACATTTTTAGTTGTTGGTCCATTTCAACCCCTAAATATATAGCGGACATCTTTGAAAACAATAGGCCTAGCCCTTCTGAGCCTAACCCTACCCTTTTCGTGAAGATCGGGCGATAATTGCAATCTGCATATAATATCCCCAACCTGTGTTGTAAGGTGAAAAAAGTATTACAAAATATACACTTCAATATTATAAGTCAAATTGAAAAAATCGCATGCGATAAAAAATATATAAATGTCAAAATCGGTCCCGCCATTTTTGAGATATAAGCAATCTAACAAAAATCCTCTTCCTTTGTATATACACATTGTATATATTTCGCTATATATATCCGATATATTTGCTAACGGCATCTACGTAACGGTCATGATTGACCTGTTCGTCTATTTGTGATTTCGACGGGATTAAAAATATTCGCGTTTTTTTATGGTCCATTTCACCTACTAAATATTATCCGATGACCATCAAAATTGGAATGATTCTGCCCAGCCCCAAGCCCTAGCACCGTGCTAACTTCGATTGGACTATAATTGCGACCTGTAGAGCAACTACAAAATCAGGAAATTTTTCAGTTTTTGGTCCATTTCAACGCCTAAATATTATGCGATCATCTCAAAAAACAATAGGGTTCTATTCTGGCCCTAACCCCACCTCCATTTTCAATTTCGTGAGGATTGGGCCTTAATTGCGACCTGTAGAGTGATTACAAATTAACATGGACAGATGGACGGACGTACATAGCTAGATCGACTCAGCTCGGTGAGATAGGAAGATCCATATATACTTTCCTATGTGGGAAACCAATATTTCGAGGTGTTACATAATTTTTTGCCCAATCAAACGCATAATACCCCCAACACACAGTGTTGTAGGGTATAAAAACACAAAATATCTTGAGGTACACTTATATGGTTTCGACCTGTTTAGAAAATGTTCTGTCGGTGGCGATGGTTGCAAATACCAACTTTGCAATTATTCCATCAAACAATGTGGCAACAATAGCCAGAACACCGAATAACGGCAGATACCATTATGTGGAAACTATACCACAGTTTTGTACTTCCTACTGATTAATTGGCCTTTCTAATCTGAGTCATATTGCGACGTGAATTCTTCCTCCATTTTATATGAAATATAAGCTTTCGTGGAGGAGGTACGAGGCATAGTAGACCGATGTACTCTACTTTCTCTTTTTCTCAGATTTGGATATAGCTTGCATGTATATCTTTATTTGGATATAGCTTGCATGTATATATTTATCCGATTTCATGCATATTGTGCACCAAATGGCTAATATCAGCCCAAATAGACAGAATTTTGTCTCTTCCAACTGAATTCATCCTAGAAACAAGTAATCCAAATTTGGTGAACATCAGTTTAGATATAGCTGTATGCCTCATCCGATTTGGGGTTTTAAGTCCCTCTTCTCTCTCTTCTCACTTCTCAACAATGATATTTTGTTCCAGATTACAGATACAGCTTAGAATTATATGTTTAAAATTTTGTCAATATCGGTTCAGATGTGGATATAACTTCCTTATATATCTTTATCCGATTTCAGGTATATTGTGCACCAAATGGCCCCAATGACCTGAATTTTGGCACCGACCGAATATCTACATCTATATCTATTGCTCAAATAAATATTTCTCAATATAATTCATATCGAAGTCATATCAGGCACTATACAGCAAAGTTATTTGGTACTACAGTACAAAAGCCTCCATCAAATTTGTTGAAAATCGATTCACAGTTGGATATTGTTCCCAAATTGTGAATATTCTATAGCAATGATACGCATTCAAATGAGATTCATAGTTGGTCCGCTCTACTTTACATACATTTCCAACATAAACTTTTTTTACGTGAACCCTTCTAAATGCGCATAGTGGTGTGGGGTATCATATAGTCGACCCACCCGACTTTTGACCTTCCCTTACTGGTTCTTTATTATACCACAATACATGATACGTAGTGTAAATGATGGTCGTCTAAGCGAATTTTATCATATCATCATTTTGCCATTAGATATAGATATAGATATAGATATAGATATAATATATAATAAATTAATCTAAAATATTAATTTTCAGAAAATGTATTTATTTTCTCTTTCATATCGAAAGGCAAACAGAAAAATAAAAAGCATAAAAATGAACAAATTAATTAATCCATCTTTCATGTCTTTATTAATGTTGTTTTTGTTCTGCCGACGAACGGAAGTGTTGAGAGACAATTTTTTTTTGTCTCACCCATTCAGATTTTGTAGAGTTTTAATTACTGAACATTAACCATGACAAGCTGATCAACTGACACAGATACACCATTAATCAACTCCCATCTATCTGGGATTCCTAGTAATGATTTTTCTGTTCTTCTTATCTAATTCTTTTGCTTCTTCTTCTTATTATTATTATTATTGTTGTTCATTGTCTCATCATTCTTCTTTCTCATTTCAGTATGGATTTGTTAATTACGCTCTGGAGCTATTGGTGCTTAAACACTTTGGTGAAGAAATATGGGAGAAAATAAAGTAAGTTGGTTTTTTGTTCTTCGTATTCTCTTTTTTCTTCTTTAGAATAACAAATGAATAGAAATAATTTAATGATGCGAAGATTAGAGCAAAAAAAGTGTGTATGTACAGTGGAACCTTTCGGTTGACGGTAAATATTTGGCTTATTGCAATAATTTCCAGCAATAATAATAATAATAATTATAATAATAATAATAATAATAATAATAATAATAATAATAATAATAATAATAATAATAATAATAATAATAATAATAATAATAATAATAATAATAATAATAATAATAATAATAATAATAATAATAATAATAATAATAATAATAATAATAATAATAATAATAATAATAATAATAATAATAATAATAATAATAATAATAATGATGATGATGATAATAATAATAATAATAATAAAAATAATAATAATAATAATAATAATAATAATAATAATAATAATAATAATAATAATAATAATAATAACAATAATAATAATGATAATAATAATAATAATAATAATAATAATAATAATAATAATAATAATAATAATAAAATTTATCGTCTTATATTGTTTAAAGTCTTGAATATTGTTTGTGAACTCGATTGAAGGTTCCACTGTAAATTTTTTGTGTATTGTACTTAATTAAAGTGACAAATTTTAACTCAATTCCTCATTTTAATGTTCTTTGATGCTGATATAAATCTGTTCATAGAAAGAAACGACAAAAAAGAAAATCCTTATTGTAATTATTTGCCGTAGGAGTTTTAAACAACAATCCCATTTCAAAAGAATTGTGTCAATAATCTAAAGAAGTTTTTTTTCTTGTAAATACTATTAAATCGAGAAAAAAAAAATCGACTTATGTGTTTCATATGCCACACGAAGGGAATAGAATTGATACAAAAGTACAGGAACAACATACCGTCATTTATACATGAATTTAGTAGATGGAAAGTGTTTTCAAATGAAAAAAAGAAATACAATCATTGAGAAATTATCACTCGGAATATTTTTGCATTCTATTCGGTGTATGATTTTTATACCCTACACCACAAGGTGGTCAGGGTATTATGTCTTTGTGCATTTGTTTGTAACAGGCAGAAGGAAACGAGATAGACCCATAGTTCCTTTTGATGATCTGCATAGAATCACTTTCTGAGTTGATTTATGCATGTCAGTCCGTCTGCCCGTCCGTCCGTCCGTCTGTCCATGTATTTTTGTGAACAAAATGCAGGTCGCATTTATTATCCGATTGAGATGAAATTTTCCAAACAACATTTGTTTGGCCCAAGGACGAACCCTATTGAAATTGGAGATAATCGGTAAAAATTTAGATAAAGCTCCCATATATATCTTCGTCCGATTTGCCTTTTATTGTGCACCAAACGTGTAATATCAGTCCGAATTGTATGGAATTTTGCACATGCAACCAAATTAGGACTAAAAATAAGCATGCCAAATTTGATGGAAATCGGTTCAGATATAGCTATAGCTCCCATATATATTGTTCATCCGATTTGTTATTTTTGTCCTCCGCAGCCGTAATATGCACTCTGTAAAAACAATATTTGGGGAAATATATCAAATGCAGCTCAGAAATACCTTTGCTAAATTTTATCGAGATCGGTTCAGATTTGGATGTAGCTCCCATATATAACTTCGTCCGATTTACCATTTATTGTGCACCAAACGTCTAATATTTGTCCAAATGGGATGGAATTTGGCACATACGACCGAATTGAGTCCAGAAGGTAGTATGCAAAATTTGGTGAAGATCGGTTTAGATATAGCTATGGCTCCCCTATATATTGTTCATGCGATTCGTTGTATTTGTTACCCACAGCCGTAATATGCACTCCGTAACAACGATATTCAGGGAAGTATATCAAATACAGCTCAGAAATATCTTTGCCAAATTTTACAGACATCGGTTCAGATTTGGATATAGTTCCCATATATATTTTTATCCGATTTCAAATTAATTTCGCACCAAATGGGCAATACAAGTCCGAATTTAAAAGATACAAATGCTTCGACATATTTAGTCCTTTGAATTTTAAATTATAATTATAATCATAGCGTGTATGATTGAATTCTCCCATAAAAATGTTTAATTATTAAGTGGAGCTCAACTAAATTAGCAAAGTGGTGTAGGGTATCATAAAATCGGCACCGCCCGACTTTAGGACTTTCTTTACTGTTTTTTTTTTTGGAAAATTCCCACCAAAATGCTTTTGTACGCTTGCCTTATCGAAGTGATATCATGCACTATATAGCAATGTTATTTATTTAATAGTTCGATTGATCTACTTCACATGAATTCCCAATATTTTTTTTGTCACAAGAGCTCTATTAAATACGCATTTTGGGTTGTAGGGTATCATATAGTCGGCCCGCCCGACTTTTGACCTCTTCTTCCATATTCGATTTTGCAAAGAATATTTAAAAGGTCATTTTTAGTGGTGAGATTACGAAAGATTTGAGTAGATATTTCACCTTTTTCGCACCCGACCAATGCCTGCTTTCTATCAGATGTTTTGACTCGAAATCTTACTTTCGAAATAAACATGAATTGAACATTATCGGATTCTTATAAAGTTGGCTAAAAATATATGACTTTACCGAAGAATAATTAATGATTATGTATCAGCTTTAGAATTTGGTCCAGAGCATTAGTTGTAAAATTGTTCATCAAAAAAGAGCAAGGAAGGGTTTTTACTTTAACGGGTCATGATTTTTTATTCACAAAAATTGAAAACAACCAGTAAAGAATGCCTTAAAGTCGGGCGGGACCGACTTTATGATACCCTACAACACTTTGCATATTTAGTAGAGCTCCACATAACAATTAAAAGTTTTTATGGGAGAATTCAATCATACACGTTATGATTATAATTATAATTTAAAGTTCAAAGGACTAAATGTGCCAAAGCATTTGTATCTTTTCAATATGGTCTTGTATTGTCCATGCGGTGCACAATTAACTTGAAATCGGATAAAGATATAAATGGGAGCTAATGTCCAAATCTGAACCGATCTCGATAAAATTGGCAAAGATATTTTTGAGCTGCATTTTATTGCATATCATTGTTATGGAGGGCATATTACGGATGTGGGTAACAAATATAACAAATCTGATGAAGGATATGTATGGGAACTATAGCTATATCTGAATCGATTTTCACCAAATTTGACATATTAGCTTCTAGACTCAATTTGGTCGTTAGTGGCACATTCCATGGGCTAATATTACACGTTTGGTGAACAATAAAAAGCAAATCGGACGAAGTTATATGTGGCTATAAACAAATCTGACCCGAGCTGTATTTGATATATTTTCCCAAATATTGTTGTTACAGAGTGCATATTACGGCTGCGGAGGACAAAAATAACAAATCTGATGAAAAATATATATGCTGGAGCTGCAGCTATATCTGAACCGATTTCGATCAAATTGGGCAAACTTATTTTCAGACCTAATTTGGTGGTATGAGCAAAATTACATACTATTTGGGCTGATATTACACGTTTGCTGCACAAAAAAACAAATCGAACGAAAATATATATTTGAGGCTATATCTAAATTTTGACCGGTTATCTCAAATTTCAATGGGATTCGTCCTTGGACCAAACAAATGATTTGTGCAAAATTGCATGTCACGAACAAATGCACAAAGACATAATATCCTTCGCTCTCTGTGAGATAATAAATTTCTTTATTTTTATGACCTCAGCCATATGACTAGAGAGGGTATATATGATAAGTCCGGAACGTGCCTCATCGACTTAACGGTCTTAGACTATAGACCAAATCCGTTTCAGGGCATTTGGAGTCAATCTAGCGATGTCCGCCCGTCCGTTCGTTCGACTGTCTGTCTGGTGCGCACGATAACTCTCGAAGGATGTATACTATTTTGTTCAAATTTACTACTTCGTATAATTATTATCAAACTTAGATCGAGTTCGGAGACAGGAAATATCGGTGCACTCCTTCTCCCACAAATCATTATCTCATTCAACATCTCATTATTTCTACTAACGCAAGATCTGCTGTGAAGATTGGAGATATAGGTCTACTCCTTCTGGTACCTCCTCCACAAAAGGGATAACATTTTTAATATCCTTTAAGGTCATAAAACGCGAAATTAACATCCGATTCCATTCAGACTTGGTACTTCCTAATATTTCCATCACCACAAAAAGATGGTAGAGATCGGAACATTTCTTCTTGTACCTCACCCACATATGTTTCAAGATTTTGGAAAACCAAACGAGGATTGTTCGAACGGAAGATCGAAATGATGACAAAATTCGACCGTTAAATTGGAGATCAATACACTGGGAAATTAGAGAACGAAGCGATGCATCCTTATATCTTAAGACTTCATCCATAGTTTTTAAGATCTACAGATAATCAAGGAATCACACGGTGGGATTTACCCTACCATTATTTTACTTACTTGTTATACCCTCCACCTTGGAAAGGAGGGTATATTAACTTCCGTTTGTAACATCCTTAAATTTTCGCCTTAGACCCCATAAAGTATATATATTCATAATCAGCATAAAATTCTAAGTCGATTTAACGATGTCCGTCTGTCCGTCTGTCTGTCTGTTGAAATCACGATACAGCCCACATTATTTGACTTAGAGCGCCAAAATTTAGCAGAGCTATTTGCATTGTGTCTAGGATGGTTGGTATTGAAAATGAGATATATCGGTCCACGTTCTGGTATAGTCCCCATATAACGGTACCTCCCGATATTCGGTATTTTGATGATTTATGTCACATTTTTTCATGGATTTGGAATTGGTATTTGTAGATCATAACGGGTTCCTGAGCGTGTGGCAAAACATTGCATGCATAGGTCCACGTTGTGGTATAGCCCCCATATAAAGGTACCTCCTGATATTCGGTATTTTAGTTTTTTTTCCTGGCACATTTTTTAACGGATTTGTCTAAAAATTGGTATTTGTAGGTCATAATGGTTTTCAGCTCCGGTGG